GCTTCCCCGCTAGGAAAGCCGAGTTGCTCCCTCGGGGCAGAGCCTGAGAGCTTGAGGTCCAAGCCTGCAAAAAGGTCATCAGCCTTAGAATGTCCAAGCCAAGTATCCTTTCTAGTCCACCCCTTGCCTTTTACAGAAGGGGAAACTGAGGTCCAGGGAGGGAAGGGCGCTCCCCAGGGTTCCGCCGTACCTGAGCTTCCTGGAGGAAGTGGTGGCAGAGCCCAGATCAAACGTACAGGTGAAAGTCACCCACACGGAGGCCCAGATGGCGTGGGAGCCCCAGTGAGGATGGAGGAGGTGCCCCGTCCCAGCCGCGGCCCCTCACTCTGCCCTCTGCTCCTCCCGCAGATCGAGGCACTCCCCCCGGAGCTCTTCCAGTGCCGGAAGCTGCGGGCCCTGCACCTGGGCAACAATGTGCTGCAGTCGCTGCCCTCGCGGGTGGGCGAGCTGACCAACCTGACGCAGATGGAGCTGCGGGGCAACCGGCTGGAGTGCCTGCCCGTGGAGCTGGGCGAGTGCCCGCTGCTCAAGCGCAGCGGCCTGGTGGTGGAGGAGGACTTGTTCAACACGCTGCCGCCCGAGGTGAAGGAGCGGCTCTGGAGGGCCGACAAGGAGCAGGCTTGAGCGCGGCCGGAGCCAGCAGCAGCAGGACCCCGAGTCCTCGGGCCAGGAGGGCCCGGCCCTGCCCTCCCAGGACTCCCGGACAGCCAGCCTGGCCTCAGCAGCGGAGCTGGGGCCTGGCATGAGCCGGGCAGGCGAGAGGATGGAAGCTGAGGGGCTGGCCCCTCACGCCCTCTGAGACCCACTCCCCTTGAGGCAGGCGCCTGCGGGGAGGCCAGAAACCTAGCTGGGCTCCGAGTGCAGTATTTGGACAATCAGGGTCTCCTCCCTGGAGGCCGCCTCTGTCTCGGAGGCCGCCTCTGTCTCAGAGGCTGCGCCGACGCCGGAGGTCCAGGGACGCCGAGTTAGCTCTTGGTATTTATTTTCCTCCACCTCCCATCCCCTCCTCTGGGTAACTTACACATTCCCAAGCCTGTCTGCGCCACGGGAGGCGTTTACGGAACGGTGGGCAGTTTTCCCCTTTCCTTTGCAGGTGGTGCCCCCGGCACCGAGTGCCCAGCCAGACTTAGTTCAAGGGGTCCAGGGCGACCAGGCTACACACGGTCACCCCAGGGCCCGCGGGAGAGCAGGCCACCCTCGCCACCTCGCCTCATTGCTTTTTGTGGCAGTTTTCAATTTTTTTTTTTAAGTTAAAGATTTTTTTGTTTGTTTTTTAAACTTTGAAAATTGATGGTTTGGGTATTAAAAAGAAAAAGAAAAAAAAAAAAAAAAAAAAAAACAAAGACACTAAAGGCCAGTGAGTTGGAGTCTCAGGGTCGTGGCAGTTTCCCTGGGGGGAACAGCAAGACATTGAGTTAGATTTCCTTTCCCCGGGGCGCGGGCACAGGACGTCTTCCGAATCCGGTGTGACCTTGTCCAGGAGTTTTTCCGCTCTCCTCCTGGGGTGGGGATTTTATTTGTGTTTGTTTTTTTGGTGTCTTGTTTTCTTTCTCCTCCATGGATCTTGGCAGGGACTCCTTTCTGTGGCTGTTGGCCAAAGGGAACGTTCTGAAGCTGCCAAGAAGGGAAGAGACCCGGGTTGGCTAATCCCCGGATGAACGGTGCTCCGTCCGCCCCCGCTCCCCACGCCCACCCGCCCCTTCACGCACAGTGTTACCAAGCCAAGGGGGCCGCCGCGCCTGGACTCCCCTGACCCCCCTCGCCTGTCACGGGCTTGCGCAGCGACACCACCCGCCTCCCCTGCTCACGTCGGCCCCTCACCGCTGGCCGTTCCTGAAGAGCAGACGTTCCAAGGCGGGTCAGACACGGGGAGGTCACTCTGGGAGGGCAGGCAGGCCCTGGCTTTCGGTTCCAAGGCAGTTCCCGTCCGGGCACCTGGCTCGCACCCAGCTGGGTCAGCACCTGGTGATAGGAAGCCGCCCGCTTTAGATCAGCACTCGGGTCCCCACTTTAGGAGGGGCCCCGCCTTAGATCAATCACGTGGACACTACGGCACATGTTAGCGTCTCTCGTCTTAACAGTTTCGTCCATTTGTCTGTCCATTTGTGTTTCCCGCCTTGTGTTGTTGGATGTAACCTTCAGAAATTATGCACACTAGCCTCTGCCGACCGTGAAGCAATCCGTTACACAGACTCGGATCAGATATCAAATAAACCTGTAACACAAAGTAGCCTTCGGAGGTCTCCGTCGGTCACGGAGGGGCCCCTCCTCACTCTGCGAGGCCTGCTGCGCTCTGGCTCCTCGCTCAGGCCCTGTTTCTTGGGCTCTGCGTGGTGCGGGCCCTGTGCAACCTCCAGCCTCTGAGGCAGGGCCTGGGGTGTGAGCTGGACCTGGCCAGGGACCTCACGGCCAGCTCCTCCTCCATCATCCCTATTGCCCGTGAGCTTTGATAAGTGGGGGAAGGAGAGGCCCCCGGAGTGGGAGCGGGCAGCCCAGGGTCCTCGTCCCAGCTCGGGCATGTGCGAAGCTGGGTGTGACCCTTCCCTCCGGGTTGTCTGTGCCTCGGGTTCTAGAGGTGAGGCTATCACCGTGGGGAGCCCCAGCCTGGCTCCTGGCCCCTCTGGGACCTACTGAAGGCATAGTTGAGGGCAGAGGCTTAGAGGAGGGCAGAGCTGCCCTCACCCACTTCCGCCCTGCATCTGACTCGGAACTTCAGTGCCCTCATCTGTGAAGTCAGCAGGGGCAGGGAGCTGCCAGGACTGCTGGGGTCACCTGGGACTGGGTAGGGGGCACAAGAAAGCCGCCTTAACCTCGTGCTGCTGGAGACTGCGAAGTCCAGGCACCTGCTGCGGTGACAAGCAGGCGGACGCTGGGAGCACAGGTGGCCGCTGTAGCTAACAGGCTCCCCACGGGGAGGGGGTGAGCCCGCTCATGAGCACCTACCGCTGGGCCCTCCCTCCCCACGCTGCTGCTTCGAGGAATTAAGGTCCCAGCAGATGGGCTTCTGGGGTGCACACAAACACCCCAGGGAGTGGGGTTAGTGGAGGGCCTGCACCCAGCACCAGGTGAGACCGAGGGGCTCGGGCTGGGCTGGCACCAGGGTCCTGCAGCAAAGGCTGCGTGAGGAAGAGGCACCGCTGTGTCTCACTTGGGCCTCAGGGAGGGGACCCGGTGCCTGTACTCCTCCCTCCTCAGGGACTTGGACTCCTGCAGGGGTTTGAGGCCTGGGCCCATCCCCTCCCTCTCTGCCCTTTGCAGGCTCCTGGGCAGGGTGGCTGAGCAGCTGGCCTGTGACCCCCTTTGCGCCTCCCCTCCGGTCTGTTCTGGTCCCCTCCCTCCCAGCACCCTCTAAACCCCTGCCACCCCAGCTCCAGCCTCTGGGGCCCTGCGGGAGAGCGCGGTCTGGAACTGGTTAGCGCTGGAGAAAACAAGATGTGGAAACACCGCCCACTCTTCCCAAAGGCAGACGGGGCAGGGCGGGGGGAGCAGGCCTCGGCATGCAGCCACAGTGGTCGTCTCTGGTCACAGCAGCAGTGCGGAAAACGTGGAGAAGCTCACGAAATGTGAGAACCCCAAACCCTGCACATTCCACCCCAAAGGGCCCCCGAGCACTGGGTCAGGCAGGCTGGAGGCGCCGTGGCGCCAGGGCCTTCGTGTCTTCCCCTCACTGCTCACAGCGGGCCTGGAGTCGCCCCAGATTGCAGAGGGGGAAGTGAGGACTGGAGCTTAAGCCTCATACAGCCTCGGCCCCGGCTTTGGTGGGGCTCCCCAGGTCACTGCTGACTCAGCACAGGGGCGGGGGCCGCAGCGCCTCAGTGTTCGCTGGCGGCTGCAGCGGAAGGCCAGGACAGCTGGGAACACGGCCGGCCTTGTGACTGTCATGGTTCCGTCTCCCAGAGCCAGTGGGCTCCCCCCGCCAGCCGGGACAAAGGGCAGTTCCCAGCACAGTGGCCCGGAAAACAAGACTTGACCTGGGGCCAAGGCTTCTGAGAGCTGCACAGTGTCCCGTGCTTGCTCCGGAGACACTCTGTCCCTTTGCTATTCCCAGTGTCATTTCTGGGAAGGCAGCAGCTGGTTTTGCAGAACTGTACAGCCGGCAGGCATTTCTGACCGCCCCGCTAGCCTGACGGGAGAAGCTGAAGAAGCTGAGCCTCTCAGCCGAGGGCAGGAACGAGCCATTTCCCTTCCTCATCCTAAGCCGCAGGCCCCTCGCCCGGCCTCTGCTCTCCAAGACAGCCCTCCTTCCGCCCGCCCAGGCGGGACATCCTTAGTTCCCGTCCCTGTCTTCCTGGGCCCGCAGGCTTTCAGGCCAGCTCCAGGAGAGGCCCGGACAGTTTTCCCAAGGAGCTCTTCTGCCTTGGAGAGCACAGCCACTGGGGCCAGGCCTGTGACCGCCTGCCCCGGCCCCTTTGCAACACCAGGTGTTGACGCCTGCAGTCTTAGGGACTTTTTAGGCCTTGCTTTCTTCCCTTGAGGCCCAGAGAAGGGCAGACATCTGTCAGAGTCACAAGAAGTGACGGCCCCTGGACTGAGACCACCGTCTTTGCCTGGCACCCCTGCAACACCATTTCTGAGTGCCCAGTAAGCTGCCAGTCAGGAGCGGTTTCTAGAAAGAAACCCAGAGGAAGTCATTAAATACCACGAAGGAGACCAGAGAGGGCTAATCCTGGATTAGCTGGAGACCGTGCGGCAGAGGCCTGGCCCTCATCCAGGGGCAGAGAGAGGGCTGGGGCCTCGAGGGGAGGGCTGAGTGTGGGGATGGAGTCCCGCAGGGTCCCTGCCAGATCTGGAAGGGTTAAGTGCTCCGTGACTTCCGGGTTCAGGCCCCTCCCCTCCAGAACTTTCTCCACACGCAGGCTGACCCTGAGGCACCTCCGCCCAACCTCCCCATGGCTTGCCTGAGCCCCTCGCAGCTCCAGAAGGTAGGGCCCCATGGGCAGTGCCTGGGAGGGTCTGATTAGCATGAGCTCAGCCCACACCCTGCCACTTCACAGAGGAGGAAACCAGCCTAGAGGATGGGTTTCCAGCTGCGGGCCCTGACTGCACACCCAGCCCCGGGCACCCCGGTCCTGGGGCGCCCCGGTCCTGGCACATGCGGGAGGCCGGGAACTGGGGAAGTGTGTGTGTGCGCCGCTGAGACCAGAATCAAGCTTTCAGACCGGCTGTCAGGCGGCCGGGCCTGGGAGCCTGGGGGAGGAGAGTGGCCCGAGGAGCTCCCCCTCTGGGTGCCTGCAGGTCCAGATAAGAAAGGCTTGTTGGGTATGTGGCGTTACTCACTAATCCCAGCTCTCCGGGAGGCTGAGGCAGAGGGATCGAAAGTTTGAGCCCAGCCTGAGTCACTCAGCAAGACACTGTCTCAAAAAAAAATGGCTGGGGTTGAAGCCAGGGCCTCACACATGCTGGCGAGTGTTCGGGCAGTGGAGCTGGATCACCAGCCACGGCAGGGTTATCAGCTGCGCTGTGTTCCAGACCCAGAAACTAGCTCATTCCCCGAAGACGCCGACTCAGACCCCTTTGCTGCTCTATTGCCTCACCTTTTTATTTTTAGTTTTTGCCCTTGGCAGTGCTGGAGATTGAACCCAGCCCCTGTGTATGCTAGGCAAGTGCTCTGCCGCTGAGCTGCCCCCTGAGCCCTCTATTTCCTTATTCATTTATTTTTTTTCCAGTACTGGGATCCTGTGTTGAGACAGGATCTTTTGGAGTTGCCTAGGTTGGGCTCAAGTTTACAATCCTCCTGCTTCAGCCTCCTATGGTACTGGAATTATAGGCATGTGCCACCACATTGGCTACTCCCTAATCTTTTTTTTTTTTTTTTTT